TAAGGAGATAGAAGGGAGAGAGGATTTTTTACCTTTTGCTTATGGAAAAAGCGAATTGGTAGAAAATAACTCTGAAAAAGCAGACTTATTTATACTTGGAGGATTTCCTAAAATCACTTTCTTTTTGGGAAAAATTCCTGAAATTCTCCAGCAGGCCTCAAGGCCCACTAGCGNAACAAGACTATCAACTTTGTTAGGCTTCTAAGTAAAAGAATAGGCAACAACGAGAAGTCCAGGAAAACACGGTGACATCAACTCAATACGGAATAGCGGAAACTTCCTAAGTTTGATGATAAGACGTTCACGCATGCGACTTCGCAGTCCAACATATCGATCTCAGACTTCCGCAACTTTTACTCGGCATCGTCTTAACTCGATACTGCCAAGTTGGGGGCTAACTCAAGGCCCACTAGCGAAACAAGACTATCAACTTTGTTAGGCTTCTAAGTAAAAGAATAGGCAACAACGAGAAGTCCAGGAAAACACGGTGACATCAACTCAATACGGAATAGCGGAAACTTCCTGAGTTTGATGATAAGACGTTCACGCCTGCGACTTCGCAGTCCAACATATCGATCTCAGATTTCAACAACTTTTACCTCGGCATCATCTTAACTCGATACTGCCAAGCTGGGGGGCTAACTGTAGGGGTCGGATTTCACCCCTATGAGATCGATATAANGACAAGATCAACTGGGCAGCATCCTAACGAAATCGGAGCAAGTCTATAAAGGCCTAGTCTGAATCTAGGCCCAAAATGACATTAAACCCATTAACAAAAATGGGCTTAATGGAGTAATGGGCCTAATTTTAATATATTGCTTAATGGGCCAAACCCATTTATTAGCTGGCTCATTTTACTTAGAAGTACTATATAGAGTTCATTATCATCTCCCAAAAAGGGGATCGATTCATTTGTAACCAGAGCTTAACATAAACAGCAATAAAACATATCTTCAACTTTTGCTTTGTGATTCATACTCAGAAGACTCAGCTCTCTTTTCAACCCTTGACAAATTCAACTGTGTTGGATCCACTGTCCACAACAGGCCCAAAAACCGTTTTGAGATCATCATTAAAGATAAACTCTACCCAAATGTTAGAACCACACCATATCCCATAATTAAGGGTGATTCGTCTAATTAGGAGAA